ACTGATTCTTGTGCCCCCTTAGCCTGTTCACTGGCAGGGCAGCATGAGAAGCAGAAAAAGTCTGGGTGCTGTATAAGCACTGTTCAGCAATAGATAAAACATTCTTGTGTTATTAACACTATTCTGGTCACAAATCAAAAATGTAGTATGACACAAGCTATTGTGAAGAAAATTAAGTCTATTCCAAACCAGTACAGTCACAAACTCACCCACCTCAATTACTACTGGGCCCACATTTTCCGTGTGTATTCTTCTGCTAATATTGTAGCAATGGAGGCTGTTCCTGTTGCCCTTGATGTCCTGTGCAAGTCACAACTCCAGCTGAAAATTGGCTTTCCTCATAATTCTTCTACATGTCTGGGTATCGTTTGTGAACTTCTCCTTTTTGTTTGCATGTAGCTTGTGACTTTGATTAATTCCTGAAAATAAAATTAGAAATATATTTATGGTTCTATATATATAAACTATTCTGTGTAATAGCAAATTTCTGTGCTAAGCATTACAGTACCAAGTCCTTCTGTTCAATGAGAAGTAATAATAAACTAGTTTAGAATAATCTGAAAGATCAGCTCATGTTATTGAAGAATATTTCAGCAGACCCAGAAATGGGAGCTATGAATGTAACTTAAATTTTATGGTTCCCTCTTCAAGTATTTTTAAGGTACATTTAAAACAACAGAAGATCAAAGAACGTTGTAGCTAAGCACTTAAACTAGATTATTTTGCAGTGGACTAGATACTCACTGACTATGTGAGATTTGTTTGTGATGTATAAAAAATAAGACTGTGAAACAGTACAGAGTAATGCAAGACTATTTTAACTTCTGTTAGCTTACTACTTTCCCTATTTGCTTTGCACAATGCAAGAAGTGAACCACCACCCCAAAATTGTCATAGTATTGCAATACCCTTAAAACTTTGTGACTTCTATAGTGTTAATTGATTCTGGTTACTGATCTATCTCTCACTCTTCTCTTCCCCCTGCCTCCTGTTAGTTAGGAGTAAGGAGGTCTGCTCATTTTGCCCCTTCCACCCCTGGCCCTGGACAAATAGAATTTACTTTCATGGTAGCCAAATATCTGAGGATTATGTTGTGAATTCTGATATTTAGAGATGACATTCTGAGATGCTGTAAGCGTTCCAAAAAGATTAAGCAGAACCTGCAGAATCTCTAGATTACTCCAGCCTGTTTCCAATATACTCATTTGTCAGTGGCAAAGAATTGCAGAAGTTATTTGAAGTAAAAATTCTACACTTTGTCAGATAAAACTAATTACAGAAATCCTATTCTGGTTATTTTCATTAATCCAATGCTAAGTTTATCTTACTAATAATGAAACCCACAGTAGATAACAATAACACTGAGCTGAAATGCCACCATTTAAGCAAGACTGAAAATTAAGACTCCAGGTTTCTAGATGAAAAGTCAAAAATTAATGAATCCACAGATTGTATTCTGAAATATTCACTAAACAGGAAAACTGAAAAATCAATTGCCGTGGATTCTAATTGAAGCTGGCAAGTTGCTCTGTTTGAAAAATTGTATATATTTTCATACCTGAATAATGTTGTAAAAGGCCTTTGTGATGTTGTTGATGATGACAGTTTACATCTAGTCTGAATTGCATGATATGCAAGAGCATAAGAAAATAGTTTTAAACCATAAAGAAGTCTTGTGCATTTTTTCCCACAGAGATACAAAATTGAAATTAAAACTTGTGACTAAACAGTTTTTTTCTTGAAATAATCAACATTTAAAACTGTCAGTGGGAAAACTAAAAGGAATTAAGTGGTTAATATAGAAATTTGTCTTCTGTTGTCTTATCTAGAGGTTAATAGATTGCAACAGTGGGTTTTGTGGTGCTTAGAATGATACTGCTTGTGGTGTAAGGTGTCCCTGCCCATGGCAGAGGGGTTGGGACTAGATGATCTTTAAAGTCCCTTCCAACCCAAACCATTCTCTGACTCTATGATATTTCAGATTTGTAAGGTCTGTGGTATGTGTTGATACAGTTTATAAAAAAAAAAAATCAGTAACTTCAAAAGTTAAATTTGCCCTGTTTGGATCTGTAATCAGACTATAGAAACTATTTGTAGCAGACTTATTTTGGACAGTTCTCAGAAAGCAACTTCATTTCTAGAATTCAGAATACTGAAGGCTAGGTAGGAGTAGTTGTGCATGTAATAATGCTAATAAAAAATGACAGCAGTGTTCATGAAATTGAATTTTAGTATTAAGTACTATAGGACTTAATCTTGGTAGGAGGACATCCTGCACCAAATACTGCACAAAATAAAAAAGTATTCCTACTCTGTAAAGAAAGTGTGTGATGTTTTCATAGCCCCTTTCCGTAATCCAGTATTGTCTGATCAGAATTTCTTAGTTGACTGGATTTGTGTTTTTACAAAGTAGAAGTCAATTCAGTTGGTTTATTCAGTAAGAAAGAAGACAAAGATCCAGGGAGGTACCACAGTATTATTTTTATTTATTAAACAACAATTTTTATCAATAATCTAGTTAATAATCCTGTAATTACAGTTACTAAAATACATAAATCATCAAAACTCGTAACCTATTTTTCATGTTTAAGAACAAAATACAAAAAATCTTGCAAAATTGTTTATGACCTGAGGAAGCCACGTTTGGATTAGTTACCTTCTCAAATTGTATCTCTTGCATATACTTACATTAAGTCAATTCAGGAACCATTTCATTCTGTAAACAGATGTTTCCTTGTGGATATTTTGGGGTGCCCTTTCCTTACTGATGAACTACAAACATGTGCCATTATTCATATATATGGATTTGGAAACATGAATCGAAGAGACTAGATATACATACTAGACATACAGACTAGACAGATGTTTTTATCTTTGCTGTCTTCCAGCTTTCTAGATTGATTTTGCCACCTTCATGAATTTAAAAAGATAAAACCACAAACAAAAAAGCAACCCACAAACCAGGAAAAACAAACAAAAATGCAGAACAACAACAAACAGAAAGACCATGGTCTATATGGTCATCAACATAAACAGATAATGCTTTGCCTGATCACTTCCTGTATACAGAAAAAAGGAAGGGAACTATGACTGTAGGTGTCATTCCCGCTTTATTTAAAAATGACTTTACTCAAGGATCTAAAAGAAAAGACAGCATCGATGCAAACAACAAATGACAAACTTTGTCACATAAGAATAAAGCTTGCAGTTCAATAGATATCTTTTTTTTTCTCCATCCATGTAGTAGACTGTTGAATGAGAAGTAAGACAGTAAAAGAAAAAAAAAATTGGAAATGATGTTAGAGGGAGCCCATACCTTCATTCCTCTGTGCTCCTCAGATTTGGAAACGGAAGGAAAAAAACCCAACCCTGTACAAATATGATTTGGTCTTTGGGTTTAAAAGGTCAGCTGGTTGAGGTGTCAGCTTCTCAGCCTGTAGAGTGCGAGTGTGTTGAACATTTTGTGGTGAAGAAATAAATATTAATTCTGTAGAAACGTAGACCTTTGTTCTTCCCTACCTGTGTAGGATTAAAGAACAGAGTAGGAGACTTCCTCCTTCACCTGGCAGATCAAAAGTACATATCTCAGAATAATGTCTGCAGGTGTCAGTGTTCACCAGAGGTGAGAGAATGCAAGGAAACACACATGTCCGATCAGGATTCGGTTGCTAGTTAGGAAGTGATTGGCAGAGAAAGAGGTATTAAGCACTCAGGCTCAGAGAAAGCAGAGTGAGTGTACAGCCAAGATTACCATCTGTTGAATATGAAATGCTTGGATCAAGACATTATAGATACATTTCCCCAAACAGCAGGGACAGCAGTCTTTTTTGGAAACAGTATCACAACAGGGTAGGGGAGCATTAAGATAGAAGCAAAAAGCTGTTCACTAAATTTTAGAGAGCAAATTACTTTATTGGTGCAATTGAACTGTATTTAAATTGTGCTGGATCTGTGGAGTGGCCTCTGAGCTGTGATATGTGAACTTTTATCCTGAATAAAGACAGAGATTTTTATCACTTCCAAACCTCCGTTTCCTGAACTAGCTGACCTTTGACAAGCATTACAGCAGTGAAAATGATTCTATTTCCATATTCAGGGAGTTGTTGCAGAAGATAGAGGGTAGCTCTAATTTATGAGGGTAATGACAGTTGTTTGTCTATGCAATTATTCTGTACTAACTTCTTTCTTTAGTCATGAACTGGAATGTGGAAGCCAGGACTAGATCTTCATCATCCAAAATTAATCACATTTGTGCAATCAGCAGCTCAGATGGTATCAGGAATAAACAGAATTCCAAAAGGTTTATTTTATACCTCTATTTTATACCTTTCAGTTCTTCCTACCCTCCAGGTTGATTTCTAATTAGATAACTAAATTATTCAGACCCCCTTTGCCATTGCTGAAAGATCCACCCATTGACGGGACAAGTGTAAAAATGTACGGATGAGCGTGATAGGTGTCATATATTTTTACTTCTTTGAGGCTTTTGACTATTGTATGATATTCTCCTAAGTAAGCCAGGGAATTACAACCTTTGAAGCAGGCTAGACCAGGTTGGAAAACTATTTTCAGAACACTTACTGAAGTTTTAATGTAACATTCTAGAGAGATTTGTTCCAAGTCTGGACTTGCTAAGCATTTTCATTAAAAAGTGGGATGAAAGAAGGATATACTTTTATTAAATATCAGGTGGTACCAT